GATAAGGAGAATAACGGGTGCCCCCCCCCCCGTTGGCTCAGAATGAGCGACATCAGAAAAGATATGAACATTGACTCATTTGAAGAGCACACTGTCAAATTCTGTATCTCCTTTTTTAAGGAAGAACGTAATTGCACTACGTGTAACTACAACAACATTTTAGACTTTGAGCTTATTAGGGACAACAGCCTATACAGCCCGGCTACTGTTTTTCATTTATCAGACGTAGTTTTATCTAAAAGACTCAACTGGTTACTTTACTTCACATCTCCCATTTCCTCAATCAAAGTCTCTCTCTGTGAACCCATGAAGCCCGCAAGGGGGGAGGCGAGGCAGGCAGGTGACCGAGATTACCTTCTGTAATTATCTGTACATACTTTTTTCTCATTATATGTTACACTTCCCATTATTATTGTTCCGATTTCATGACATTATTTTGCTGCATCTACACTCTTAACACCCCTCTGATTGGAGCTTCGGCATTTGTACCTTTCATCACCACTGAGACGAATGAGTTGGGTCAACACCGTTGGGGCCCCTGACGGGGCCGATACTTAGTTAAAGATATGACATAAGCATAAGCGATCGGGGGATTCGATATTTTGATCGTCAAACAATTTGCAGCCCTCCGCTTAACGGAGTTTTATATTTTTGCTCCCTCCTCCCTGAGGTGGAGAACCTTTTTTGGAAGAATGGCTTGCTTGCGCCATCTTTATTTTTTTCAAAATGGATTTTGGAATTCTCTGTATTAGTCATTTTAGCATCCACCTCATGTGCTGCCATGCTATGACTTGGTCTACGAAATGTTTTTTTTATGCTTAATCATGCAGCTCTTTTAATGTGAAAAAGAATTTGAATACGATTGTGAATAGAATTATTTTTGGACTGATCATGGATTTGCGAGGACCATATGCAAGTATTAAACTGAGGCCACGACGGCTAACTTTTCCCATCCACTTGTTGGACGATGAATGCAGATACAACCCCGCTCTGATGTTACCCGGAAGACCTGATACCTATCCACTCCTGTGTTTTGGTCTGAATGGAAACCACTCCCAGTCACTCCTGACCACTTCTCTATACCTTAAACAGTGCAGTGTCTTTGCTTTTTATTTTATTTCATTCACCACATTCAGGAGGATGCTTCATCCAAGTCTTATGGGAAGTGTTGCGAGCACTAACTCATATCAATAGCTCCAAAATCTAGTTTGGATTCGGATTTTTTTTTTAATTCACCAGATTTAGAACGATTTTTCTTCGATCAATTCGAACGATTCAGCCTTAGAAGAAGTGTTGCGTGCTATAACTCCTGTATCAGTAGTTGCTATTTTATTATTATTTAGTGATTTTGACAATATTAAATTTTAATATCCAACTTTTCTATTTAGGTTTATCCCCAGTCAGTTTAACAACAAAATTTTCTTGAAGATACATTTTTATCAATGTCTCCACAACATCAGGTGGTGACCATTTTTCCTTATTCGCCAAATTTATTGAGAAAGGTAGAACATTTACGTGTTTCCATAAAATTTTCTTGAACAGCAGCTGCCTTTATTACTGTCCCGAAATTCAACACAGTGTAGCATTTTTTTTTTCATTCACCATGTTCAAGATTAAGTAACATTCGTAGTCATTTCCATAGGAGTGTTGCGTGTAATGCCTTCTTCATCAATGCCTCCAAAATCAAGTTTGTGAGTTGTTGGTTTTTATTTTCATTTAGCATGTAATTTATTAATGTCTGAAAAAATTAGTTAGAGTGCTTTATTTTATTATTTTTCCTAATTCACCACATTTAGGAAGATGTTAAATCCACACTCAGATTTGCAGCAAGTGTTGCTTGCCCTAACTCTTATATTCATAGCTTGAAAATCTAATTTGGGTACTGATTCTTTTAATTTTATTTATTGCTAGGGGGCTAAGCCTCCTGTTCGCTGCCGCTCACCAACCCCGAATATTGCTTTGCAATAATTGTCTTTTCTTGGCAGAAAACAATTTTTCTATTAAAGTTAAAATTATTCACTTAACATATATGTACTAAAAGGAATTCTGTTTACTTACTCTTGTGCCTCTACTTCCCACGTCTAAATATTACTCTCAAATATTACTTTACCCAAATATTAGATCTCTTGGTGAACGGAAGTGATTTTTTGAGGTATTCATTTTTAAAAATAACATTTATATTCTTATAGCATTGTATTGTTCAAACAAATTTGATGAGTTCACAACCATAATTTAATACTCTCGCTAATAGTAGCAGTACTGGAAAATAAGTTTAAATTGGGAATACAAAAATATTCAAAGGAAAACAATATCTTTACGACTTTAGTTAATTTTGTGCTGATGACAACCTAAACAATATGGAAAAGAATGGGGAAAACTGGATCCTACCACGTGATTTTCCAGCCAATAAAAGTGTGCCGACGACAATGGAAAACTGCGACACCATCATTAGAATTTTATATATAGTAAGATTTTCTTTTAGTCACCATATTCCGAGCGACGCTTCATCTACAAGCAGTACGAAGATCACGCAGTACCTCTAGAAATAAGAAAAATTTTAATCGCCAAAGTTCCAATTATAGGAACCGATCAAAATCTAGAGAAGGTATTTGTTGGTATCATTGTCTTTTTGGTAAAAAGTCAACCAGATGCTAGTTATTGATTTCCACATTAAATTGTTTCACCTTATTAAACAGTTTTTCTGTTGTTGATATGTTTAAAGTTGCAAATGAAATATATTTATACAGTAGGAGCTTTGAGAAAAAAAAGGGTCAGTCATAAACAATTCCAAAGCTGAAGAGAATTTGGAAACAATCATGATGATGTACTCATAATTTGTTAAACATGAAACAAATATTAAATATAACATTTATTAACAAAAATAAAGTTTAAAAAAATTTAAAAATAACTTACATTTAACAAAAAAAAAAGCATGGTTAATATTTTATTTTCTGGCTTAAATAAATTTTATAAAAACTAACTATGCACTAACTTCCCTTCACACTTTTTCCAGGCTTAGGACTGGCAGTACTATCTAAAATAGCTCTGGCGTGTTTAAAAGTTGTATTTTTTTTCATTTTTTTGATTTTATATATTTTTTTAAAAACTTTTTTTCATTTTTTTTTATCATATTTCATTTCCATCACATTTAAAAATCATTCAATTAATGGACTTCCGAAGTTTACTAGCATGCTGGCAATGAAAAAAACTTCATTTGCATTATGTAATGTATTGTATGCATTGCATTATGTATGGTAAATCTCCTTCGAAATATTTGATACGCCCAATTGCGCGTTCAACATGGACTCTATTATGCATGTTATTACACTCTCGCTCCAAGACAGGATTCTATCTTTTAAGAATGTTGGAGTTTTTAGAGTGCAATTTTTGGAACGTAACTGTTTTTCAATAAGAAAGCCTTTGTCAGTCATATCTCCTGGCTCAAGCTTTGAAAGTAGCCCACTCAACAGAAATTATAGTTTATATTTGCTTTATTATGTTTAAGTCAATTATATAAATACTCTATAAAGTTAGTGTATTCTTATAATATTTCAAGGAATGAGTTAAGTATAACAAATGTCTGGTCAATTTAGTAACGTCATTATCTTAATATTCTAATCATATTATTTTCTTAACTTAATTATTTTCATTATAGATGAAAATATGCTGCATTTATAAATGAATATAACTTTAGATCAGTAGATATCGTGTCGTCGTTTAATGATGAAACCTCATTTTCGATCGTGTCTGAGCGATTCTCTGTTCTTTATTTTTAGTGAAAACAAATTTCGTGGGAACAGCTCCTTGCTTTAGCATCCTTCTGCTGGTAAAATTTTGGTATTTGAAGCAATGTTCTTCGAAATGGTCAGAACACAAAAGTGTGTATTTCGTTGGAACGAAATTGTCCCGTTTTATTTTTACCAACCATGCTTTCAATTGTTTATTATTATTCACAGGAAAAGTAAAAAAAAGATTTGTCGATGCAGTCGGGTTTAGTGCGACAATTGTGGCATCCAAATGCAGCACAATAGGCCATTATATTAAAAAAATATTTAATAAAATTCAAAGGCAAATTCAAGAACACGTTGTTGATATCAAAAACACTAGCAATGCACTGCTCTCCGCGTTTGTAAACAGAATGACACACGTGACCTGTGACGTTGCATGAAGGGATCCCATTGAAGAGATTGTCATGCACATGAAATGACCAATATGGAAGTTGAGATGGACTACAGATAGCTAGATCTACGGCGTGAAATGATCGTGAAGGGGCGTGGAAATGAGTGTTTCCCCCTGTATTCATAATGCATAAACGATGATCGTCAATAAATTTCTCAATAATGAGTCCTCTACTATTGGAATCAGAGCTTCCCCAAATAGGGCTATGACCATTAAAATCTCCCAATATTATAAAGGGTTGCGGAAGTTGAGAGATCAAGTTATCTAAATCAGTTTGAGACACGTTATCTCGAGGAGGCAGGTAAATGCAACAAACTGTAAGCAGAAATTGAATGGAAATTTGAACAGCAATTGCTTGTAAATGAGTGTTAATTGTGATTGTATGGGATGGATATACAGTGGAAGTCATGATCATGACTCCACCGCAAGCTTTATTATTGTCTGTATTGTCTTTTCTAATTATATTATAGCCGCGAAGTTTGGTTGTTTGATTTGGCTTTAAGGAGGTTTCTTGAATACAAATGCAACATGGTGCGAATTTATTAATAATGTCAATGACGTCGGGTTTCGTAGAGTTAAAGCTTCTGCAATTCCAGGATATTATTTTGGCCATTACCTTTTAATTTTAAGTTTTGTATTTTGCGGACAGAGGTTTGGTGGATTATCCAACCCTTCATCGATTTGCATTTGTGGGTTTGGAAGTTCATCTGCAGTATTTTCATCTGTGCTCATTGCATCAGATTGGGAACATTTATGTTCTTGCTGATCTTTAGATTGTTTTATGGAATTTAGCTTTAGCTTCAGTATAGGATGAATTTTGTAATACCTTTATGTTTAGAATTTGTTTTTCTTGTTTCCATTTCAGACATTGACGAGAATTAGCAGAGTGTGGTTCGTTACAGTTTATGTATTGCTCAGGGAGTGTACAGGTTTTAAATGTATGATTAGGTTGACTGCAACGCAAACATGTTTCTTTTCCTCTGCAGTTGTTGGTTGAGTGACCGAATTTCTGGCACTTGAAGCAGCGCAATGGATTTGGTATATATGGTCTCACTTTGCAATTGATATAGCCTACTTTAATGTCGGTAGGTAGCGTGGCTGAGTTAAATGTCAAGATTAAGTGTTGAGTAGTTATAATGTCATTGCCTTTTTTAATAGTTATATGGCGAGCATCGATTACATCTTGATTAGAGAGTCCTTGAACAATATCAGTAACAGAAAGTTCTTGAAGAGATTTAACAGTGATAACACCTTTGGATATGTTTAGAGAATTATGAGGAGTTACAATGATGGGAATATTGTCTATTTTGTTTGATTTCAGAAGGGACATAGTTTGCTTATTAGAAACTGTTTCGACTAGTAAATCTCCAGATGGCATTTGACGCACATTTTTCGGATTTCCTATTTGTGATTCTAGAAATTTTTGTACTATAAATGGGGACATGGTGGAGAGTTTCTTTTCTGGTGAGCTAAGTATTAAGAATCTAGATTTTGCAGCATCAAAGTTTGGACATTTGGAAAGATCAAATCTAGGTGGATATTGGTTGAGACTGGGTGAAACACCTTTTGAAACCATAGCAATAGATAATTTTCGTCTGAACACTCTCACGCCCACCACCGAGCCCAACAAGGGGGGTAGAAACACCGGCTCTGAACACCTCAGCCTAGGTGCTCTGCCCAGAGTAGTGTCAGATATAGTACTACACCAGGGTAGTGTGTATCCGCCAAAACTATCAGAGTTCAGGGGCACTCTCCTTATGCAGCGCTAGTCCCTAGCAGGATGCTAAGCATGCCCTACCAGCCGGTTGAAAGGGAGGGGGACCTAACCTCCTTCCACTCGTCTACAGTGAAGCTCGGGCCAAAGAGTACGCAGTCTACCAACTCCGAGATTGAAATGCCCCCTTGGGCGCCACACTCGTATGAGCGAGCAGACAGGTAGCTCCAGGCTCCAGTTTTCCACCTTACGAGACGCAGCACACGGCAAATGTGCTGGTCAGCAAAAGCTAACGTTGTTAGTCTGTAAGCTTTAGGGGAAAATTGGTTACTTAAAATAAATAGGTGAAACATGATAGATCAGGAAACCTGACAAAAAAGTAAAACACAAACAAAAATCTGAAGATCTGTAAATGATAAAGTGTTTTTGAATGAAATGAAATAAAACTCGCTCACTAGGTCATTATAAATATTTGATAAAAAGTCGGAAACTCAAAACAGGACCGTCGCAAGAGAGAAATGGAAAAATGCTCAGGTCCGGCTCGGGGCCCCGGGTGCGCCGTACCCGTCACACAAGGGTGTGCCCCTGGGGGGTCCCGTGATATTGACGGGCTGGAGTGTTCAGTAGTAAAGCGCCAATAAGAATAAAACTAATTCATTTCTTTTGCCCGGAAAACATTTTATTTCTCATTTTACACACCTGATGGACAGGATATTTTTAAGGTAATAGTAGGTAGTAAGTTTATTTTAAACTAGTTGCAGAACTGATTAAATGCGTAATACAAATGCAAAAGCCAAAAAAATATGCACTTTCATGACCATTTTCTTGAAAATTAACCGATTGTTAAGGGGTTAAATGCATTTATAAAATGTTGACAGGCTTATCATTTTTTCAACCAGAATAATTAACTTTTTATTTTTAGCCACAAGTAATATTTTATATTATGTACGCATGTTGTTTTCGTTTAATAAAAATATTTTTGTTTTATTTTATGTTGGTGGAAATTTATTGACTCTTGAGTGACTATACTAATGGTCAGTCAAAACGCTAGAAAGTTATGATTTTTTAAAGCAATGAATTCAGTTCCATTGTTTTGAAAAAATTGAAAAGAATGTAGGGCCACCGATTAAAAAACTCAAGACCAGGATAATTCCAATCAAAGAGTTTGTCTCTACTATTTGAATCATTTACAGAAAAAATAATAGGTACAATTTTTAGCAGTATAGAAACATAATTGTCTAAAATTTTCAGTATAATTTCAAGGTTTCATTTGACATAATATATTAGTTGATATGCATGTTTTTTAAAAAATGTAAAGCAGTCTAATGCATATCATTTTCATGTTAGAATATCCACTAGATTCCTATAAATTATTAGAACATATTTTCACTTAATTATTCTAGGAAGGAGATTTGTAAGATTGGACAACACCTTTTGGTCAGTCTGTCTCTATGGGATTGCAAAACTGTCAATTCAGGTGATGGAAGATAGTCCATGGCATACTAATCATGCCTTATGATACATAATGCACCCCTAGAAATAAAGCACATTGTCACAAATCTAAAAGTATTCGCTTTCTCTTAAAAAGTTGATATATCAAATATTTCAGCTTCCTAATCTACTTTAGGGGTTAGCAAAGACATTGTAATTTCAAATTTCCCTTCAAAATATCACTCAAATTAGTATTTTTCAAACTCAAATACTTATTTCATTAATTTTACTTTATTTTGCATGTCGTTGAACAGCCAACCCAATTTTATGTTTACGACTACAAATGTTCAACTTCGTATCCTTGTAATTTTGATTCTAATCCAGAAGACAAGGGAGCTTCTCGATCAGTACCCCCCGAGGTACTGATTTGTTATGGGAACTTGGAGAACTTTGTGAACCCGACAGACTTAACTTACACCAGTCACCATTTAATACATTCAGTAACAAAAAACTCATGCGTATCTAATTGTTTTTTCATTTTTCTAGCATCAAATAAAGTTACCGGTTTAAACTTTTATGTAATGAAGAGTTTTCGTTTTGTTTTAACTTGGGAATTTCATTTTAAATTGATTTCTAATCTTAGTTGAATTTTTTAATCTGGACATTACTTGGAGTGGTAATAACTTTGTTCCCATATAAAATACCACCTTTGACCATCCTATTATATCTAATAGTTTAATTAATGATTTTGTAAAATCACTACTGGCATACTATAGATTGCTTTTGAGAGTAGCAAAGTTCCGTCAAAAGAATGGAAAACTTTAAAAACAATTTAACCGATAAATTTTTTTAAATTGCAAGGTATACATGATCGTCACACAAGAGTGTGCCCCTGGGGGGAGGTATACATGAAATGGATTTTGGAAAACATAAATTCTCACAGCAAATACTCTTGCTTCTGATTTAACTCGAGCAAATTCTTCGTTTTTATTTTACATAGGTGATCTTGACTCAAAAGCTTACCTAAAAATGTTTCAGAATGGACAAATTCTGAATTTACCATCACATCATATATAAAGTTGCAGCATTAAATTATGTCAATGACAAAGTGGAGCAAGGAGTCCGTAAGTACCGTAAGAATTCATGCTACATTTGCAAAACGTAACGTAGGTTTTCTAACTTGAATCGCTGTTTTTTTTTTTTTTTTTTTTTTTTTTTTTTTTTTTTTTTTTTTTTTTTTNTCAATAATTTTGTTGCTATTGAGAAAAATCCACCTTTTCTGGACAGGTTTTCGATATAATTTTAACTTTTTATATCGTAACCAAAAAGTTTTTTTCTTTCGTTTTAGCTAAAAAATAAGGAAACTGAGAAAAGGTAGCAACTTGTTCTAAGTAAAACTAACTTTATNTAAGGGTAAATAGAAATATTTTTAGAATTGAAATCAGAAAATAATTTCTTTAGCTTATTAGATAAAATAAGTTTAAATTTGAAAGCCAATTTTAGCCTATCTAACACTGCCCATTAAGTGTTTTAAAATGGTTGAGAACTTGAATGATTTTTATTTCTTTCTATTTAAAAAAAACTTTGCAAATGATAAAAACTAAAAATGTCAATATATCTCATTTAATTTTGAACATTTCCTGAAATCGGTTTCCATCAGAGCTGAAGTTAGTAACAAATAGATGCTCAAATGAAAAATGGTTTATATTTTAGCATGGAATTTCGCATCGAGGAGGCGGTTCTCCGAACAGCAAGTGAAGATGAGTCAGCCGAGTATGTCCTATACGTAGACGGGTGATCTTGACATCTGCTCCGCGCAATTGCAACACAGGCCAAGGTAGATGCCACATGGTAGTCAATTTTTGAGAAATCGGCAGACATGGGTTTAAAAGTTTAATGGAATGCGCGAAAATATTTTTTTTTTTATATATTACAGGTGAAGTGAGTTGCT